TACTCGTACTATATATATATATATATATATATATATATATATATATATATATATATATATACTGTGTACTTCAGTAGAAGAACAATAGGGTGTATGTTGTCAAAGTTCTTCATCATTGAACTTGTAAAAAAATCGAGCCATCTCAGTTGCTTGAGAACTTTGTGTTGCAATCTCAACTTCTCGAGTTTGATTGTACTTGGTACCTTACTGCTGACTTGGTGCGTTTTTCCTCATGCATGAAACTTACTTTGTTTGCGTTACAAACCCATCCTGCCAAGCATTTTTTCTTAGAAATATCCTTATGTCTGTAATCTTTTGTTCAAAATAATATTATTTCTTTGAAGTATTCTTATGTCTGTAATCTTTTGGTCAAATAATGTGCACTAGATGATGATGCAGAACTTTTTTGCCTTTTTATTTATACTTTTTAATTGCTCTGGAATTTTCTGCTCTAGATTATGTGTGTGTGTGTGTGATGAAGTCTAATTCGAAGATAGAAATTGATACAAAAGGCTCTAGTACACTATGACGAACTCAGGTAGAAAAATCAAGACGGCCCAATGGCATCTACTAGAGCATCGAAGGTAATCATTTACCGGTCCAGATTTTCTTTATTCCTCAAAATGGCTTCTGTTTTAGGACCCAAACATAATACTATTTCTGAATTTTCCTCATAAGAACCAAAATATTGGTCCTGGTATCTGTAAAATTTTGTTGATATCATCCTTCTATGTGCCCAAATAACTTGCCAACACAAAAAATAGTCATATAATGTGATTTCTGAGCAAGAACTTGATATACTAAGAAGTGCCTTCCCAAGCATCTGGCAACATGTGCTGTTGTGCATGAAGGGTTATGCAGCTCACTCTGCTTTTATGAACTTGTGATGAATTATTGAGATGAGTATCTTTACTTCCTCATGTGTCGTGACATCAAAATATAATAGAATGAATATGCAGCTCACACTGCTTCTATGAACTTGCAATGAGTCATGAGATGAGTATCTTTACTTCCTCATGACGTGATACGACAGGTTGCGACACAGATGGTTTGGTGCTTTTAGGTCGTCCACTAAAGAATCTTGTCCATAACATACACCTAACACAACATGCATCTAAAAAATCCATGCAATGGCTGTTGGGGTTTGTTGCCTTTAAAGGTTGCGAGAACCTGTAAAAGACATTTATAGTGGATTATACACTTTAGTGGGAGTGCGTAACTTTTAATTGACCAAAGGTTAGGCGATCTATAGCCCTGGTCATATCCTAAACCCTTATCCCTCGGTATGTGGCACTACCGAAAAGGGTTTATATTGAGGTCACCCCTTGTTGAGGTTAGAGAGATGCCTTGGGATAGCTTGTAGGCTAGGAGTATTGTATGGTCTCCTATGTGCGGATGTAAGTGTGTGAGAGCGAGGGCTAATTCCTCAAACAAACTTCTGCACAACATATAAATATAACAACCATATTTCTGGGAAGCATCCCTATAGAGGAACACGTGTACATGTGCATAGAGAGAATCCCCCTTCCACTGTAGTGACATGTGCTTGACTTGCTCTTAAAGGGGGAAATTATAATCTACGTTCGAGGACTGTGGTTTCACTATTTATTAGATAGCTTTGACGAGCCAATCATGAACCACTGCATGAAACTATGGGTCATGAGTCTCATTGGGTCAGTTTGAGAAGACAATTATAGATCATGGTCACTATTCGAGTCGAATGCCCTTATAGTCACTTGTTTTTTACCCACTAGTACCAATCCATTTCTAGATATTTTATTCTCAATAGTAGTAATGTTTATGTGAATTATAGAATTTTTGTTTTCAGATTTTTAAAATTTATTTTCTGCTGTAAAATCCTTTAAAAGGTGCCTTTTCGATATGTTGTTTATAAGGAAAGGCCCATGTGGGGGGCCCTTGGATCCAGCCCCACATGTGTGCCACCCTTGCATGGCTGGGGCCCTTGTGGCCGCTTGTCAGCCATAGGGGGTGGCATGCCCCACTCCTTATTTTGAAGAGTTTGTTTTAAATTAAAGATAGTTTTAAGTTGGAAAAAGATGATCTTTTTAAAGGAAAGATGATGTTTCTATTTTTGTGGGAGTCAGTTCGTACCAAAATTAGATAATCTTTGACTTCTTGTGATTTTGAAAGAGATAAAGGAAGTTGTAGAAGGTTCTTGATTGGTTTAATCCTATTTGGAATAGAATATGGGTCAAATATTAAGGGGATAATGTTCTTAATAGTCTTTCTAAATCATGGTGGTTGATTTAAGGATTGGATGGCTGAAATTTGTTTCTCTCTCACTTCATAGATTTTATGAATGCCTATTAGTCAAGCTGTGTCGTTGGATAGGCATACTTGGGGGGGCCGCACTTGTAACCTATATAAGGACGTGTACCCCCCTCTCATTCTCTATACAATTGAGCCTATGTCTCTCCCATCTCTCTATCTCCTTCACAAACCCAAATAAATCTCTTTTCTCTCATATCAAATTCATCTCTCTCCATCTTAATGGCATGCTACCCTAAAATAAAATAAGAGGGGGTGGCATGCCAAACCCTAATCTAGGGTTTTATTGTTTGAAGGGTCAGCATAGAAAGAGTCACTCTGCATATGCCCTAATGTGATCCTAACAGGTTCCTACAAACCCTTGTTGTGTTTTCGTGCTCTCTAAAACCCAAATTTAAGAAGTATAGCCTATGAAAGCTTCTTGTCTCGGAATTTCCAGCAAGATCAATAGGATAAAAGTATGCCATCGTTAGGAAATCGGTTGTGAGATGTACCAAATCTTGTCGGAGCAACCCTAAGCATAATCAAGTAAGTCTTCCTAGCTGTTTATTTTTTATTTTTCATTCATATTTCCATTTTTTTTGTGATTTTTCAGGAACATATTTTGTACTTCAATTGATCGTGGAAGGCTGGATTTTATTACGGGCTTGTATGTATTTGTTTTGCTAGTTAAAGGAATGATCTCAGGTTATATTAAGGTTTTTGTTTTCTATTTACCGTTGTGTATTGTGGCACTTGTAAGTAAAATTTAGTTTCATTAATAAAGACAAGAAGAAAATTTGTTGGTTTTATTATCTTGAATTCCATACAACCATTCCTTTCAATGGGGGTTATTTGGATATTAAAGTTTTCAATTATTCATCTTTTAGATCAAAATATAATAGAAGCTCGTAGGGTTTGTTTATTGAGTTGTACACACATGTAAGTAACATTATTTATTCTGTTGGGAACACGATCCCCATCATCTTGGTAAGCCATCCACTAATGTTGTCATGGAAGTGCTCCCTCTATTTTTCTGCAAGCTCCATTGTTGGACAGAAAGGTACATCACATGGTAATATTTGGGTTTTGACGAAGGGTGCCATATTGCATCGTAACATATTTGCTATAGTGCACACATTAGATGTTGTATGCCCTTATTTTCTTGATTAGGATGCCATATTGGTTACAGCTTAGGATCCTTATTTAACATATGGTCAGAGGTTCGAGTCCATTGAACCCCCGTTTCTTTTATATGGCTTAAAGGAAGATGTATATTATGTAAAACAGATGCACTTTGTGGGGTTTGAACCTATGATGTGAGATATGAAATCGTAAGGCACATATCGATAGACCTATTTAAGATTTTAGAATAAACTTTCCTTTATAATAAACATATAGTAATAAAATGGCCGATCCAACTCAAGAACCAGAACGGTCTTGGGGGATTCCTAATCCAGATTGGCGATACCCAATCTGGATCGGTGAATTTCAAATAACTGGCATTTAATTATAGGGATTATGTGGCCATTTAAAGGCCTTATGAGAGCACTTACTGAAAGCTTGATATAGTGATTTGATAGCTCTAATGGGAGTGTGGTCCGGATGGACTGTGTGGCGTTGCTGCCATGACTCACTTGAGTTTCAACTGGCTAGGTTGTTCAGGATGGTATTCAAAACCTGTAGCCTTGAGCATTTGTGTACAATCGATAAGGGTCTCATTGTGGGGTCATCCCTTATGAGGTTGGAGTTGTGCCCTAGGTAGTTGGCTAAGGGATTGGGTGTGACCCCTATGTGCGGTGGTTGGCCGGATATGACAACGGCCAAATTCTCATCATTACCATCGCACAATATGTACACTAGATAACCATCTGCGAAGCGGCCCTCTGGGAGAGGGTGTGTCATATACATGAGCCATAGAGATATCTCCCTGCAACACTGGTTTGTGTTAGAAAGACCCATGAGGTATTGTGCTAGAATAAGACCTAGACTTGTCCTCAGGGAGGGACCTGTAATCCATGGACTAGGATTGTGTCTCATTCATTTATTGGCAAACTTTGATAGTCCAAGCATGAATCCCTGCAACGGGTTATGGGTCATGGGAATTGTTGTTTCATATGGTTTCTAGATTAGATGGATTCCTCAATATATTTTTGTTATTCTCGACTCTTTGGATCCAATTTCCCATCAAATGTTTTTTAATAGGTTTGATTATATTTTATTTATATTTTTAAATTAAAATGAATTTTTAGATCTCTCTGGATATTTTATTTTAGTGAAAAAGGATTTTTAGATAGGCTAAAATCAATGTTCTGGTTTTATTTATTTCAGAGAGAAAAAATATTTATTGATTTCTAAAAACGTTTTTTATTAATTTAAAATAATTTGAGGTTGTGGGGGCACATTGGAGCTTTGTGCCCACCATGAAAGAGGGCCACATGGTGGGGCATGGGGCCCACACTCAGTGGCACGCCCCACCTCCTCTTTCCTCTTGTGTTGACTTGTTGAGCAAGCCTTCTAGAAGATCTTGTAATGATTTTGGAAGGTGTTTTAAAATGGGATGATTGATTTCAAAAGGGAAATAATTGAGATTGATTTGGTTTTTTTTCGGTAAATAATAATTGAGATTTCTTGAAATCAAATAAGTAAAGATTGTAGTGTTTTCTTTAATTAAATTTTGACGAGAATAGAATTATGGAAACTGAGGAATAATGGTCTTAGCTCATTCCTTTGATCATAATGGCTAATCCAAAGAATGAAGGGCTAAGATCTCTTCACCCCAAAGGTCTCCAAGATCTACAATCAAGATTAAGTCTCATAATGATGGAAAAATAGTAGCCTCTACTCTATAATATTATTTATAGGGTTCTATTCTCTACACTTGTGTGTGAAAGTTGCCCTCTTTCTCCCTCTTAGGCAAGTATGCCTCTGTCCCTGTCTCTCTTCTTTTCTTTTGTTTTAAGGTTTTAATTACAATTATGATTAGAGAAACTCTAAGGGGCACGCCCAGGCCACAAAGGGTCGCACGCCCTAGCCTTGGTGATATTGCTTGAGCGTATGTTTTGTGTTTGAGCCTTCTTTTATCCCATGGCATGCTCTCAAGAGGTTTTATCTAGGCTTCCCGAGTTATGAGACAAGGTTAGAGTGGAACCTAAGGTAAGATATTCGGTAATTCTAATGGCTTCAGGTTTCTTGATTCTTCATGCATTGTATTTTATATGATTGTAAAGAATTGTAATGGCATGCAAGAGATGATCCTAGGTTGTATTAGGGTTTATTTTATAAATAAAGTTGTAATATTTTGACATCTGTAAGTTGTTCTAGCCTGTATGAACAAAAGAAATAAAATAAAAAACTAACTGTATCATGTAGTCCACCTTTCAGTGCTTATGATAGGTCTATCAAGTGTAAATTTAACATTTTTTTGTCACAAGAAAAAATCCTTTAGATGTCTGCAATAACTATGTTTTGGAAATTCACAATAACCTGAACTATGAAGGAGTTGGATAAGTTTTCTTGCAAGAAATTTTTGTATATATATGTTATATCTTGATTATTCTGAATGCTTGTCATGACAATGTCGTATTGTGTCAATGGACACACACACACACGTGCACGTGCACGCGCACACACACACACACACACGCACAACACGCATGCACAGCACGCACGCAAGCACAAAGAGAGAGATCACTTAAAAACGCTCATGTGTAAATTTTTGCAGTATTTCGTTCGTAGCTCATCACTATCCAAAGTCCATCAGATGGTCACCATTGTTTAATAGTGTCTGAATTTTAATATTTTCCTACAAATTAGATAAAATTTAAATTTTGTGGGTGTGTGCACCTTAGTGAGTCACCTAAATAAAATATAAAAAAAATTATCCAAATAATGAAAAGGAGTAAATATCCCTATGAATATTTCAGGGGTATTTGTGTCATTTTATTGTTTGAGAATTATATTTTGATGAACCAAGGATGTAGTTGTGTTTATAGCCAAGGATGTAGTTGTTGAACCCCTTATTAGTTCCAATAAAGCGGCTCGTGTCCCGTTCAAGCCTTAAGCCCAGCTTCTTGACCTTTGTTCTGAAACAAAGTGATGAGTGGCGCCTGGCCACCACATCCCAATATTTTATTTGGGAGCGAGTTAGTTAGATTTATATTCGCTCCAAATTTCAAGAAAAGTTATTAGAATTCAATCACCACTAGACAACCGTGACCATATGATAGACTTTAGATGGTGATGAGCCATGAGTAAAATACTGTAAAAACTCGCTCATGAATGTTTATATTTTCCTATACACATGCACACTCACTCACACACACACACACATACAAAGCATACATACATATATATGTAGTTGCATTTGATAGGATACTCCCATCCATATCCATGTCATCGATTCCAAGAAATGTCGAGTTGTATCTGTTTTCTCCTTACCATATCCGTATTGGAACCCATATCCGAGCAACCAGGGGTTTTATTATGGAGAAAATGTTTCTGTATAGAGACAATCTTCTTTCTTGTTCCTCGAGAATGTGTTTGTTAGAATTGAGAAAATGTATCTTGTAAAATTTGCAGGTTATCTGCAAAAGCGTGTGCCACAGAACAGGAGTAATATTCCCTTATAAAGATATAATTTAAATCACTACAGTACTTAATTTAGGAATCAGATGCTGTGATCCTGTGGCCAACTCACTTGTGTTAGGAAGTATTTGTTCGACTCTCAAATCATATTTATTCATCTCTGTGATCAAACGAATAGAATAAAAGATTTGGAACTCGAAAAGTTCACCAATGGATTCCCACTCAAGATTCACTCTGGACAGTCCATTTGATGGATGATAAATGTTATGAGTTTTAAGGGCTCAAAATCTTTTTTCTTTTTTTTTTGTTTTGAAATTGATCACGAGGTGAATAAAAAATGATTTGAAAATTTACAGTCATAAAAATGCTGAAACTGTCGATGCCCTTAAAAAAATCTGAGTGACAAATATGTAGCTGTTTTTTCCTTTTTAGTTTGTGATTATGGGTGAGACCCTTGATGTACACAACACCGAGGGCTGAAGAAGGGATTCAAACTTGACACAAGTTTCATGCTGTTCTGGAATGGGTATCTGCTAATGTTTGTAGCATCCCTCTTTACATGCTGGAGCTCACAATGGGTGTGATCTATGAGCTCTGCAGATACCTGACACATGAAGGAGAAGTCCCTTATTACAATTTTGTTACCTTAATGGTGAGCCCAGTCCACTAAATGCATTAAAGAATTGATCTGACATGCAGTTGTGAAGACTCAAGTTTCTTCGTGTTGTACCATCAAATACCAAGCGATATTTGAGCATTCACATGTAAATTACCAAATGGAGTTTTTTCTACTCAAGTGAAACTGGTCTAAACTTTGAAGTTCAATCTTAAAATTATCTTGGTTTTCTGTTGAGAGCAATGTGCTGCTTTGGTTGCCAACTTTTCCCACTTTGTCTAGACTTAATTTAATCTCAAATTATATTTTCCCTCCTTCAACAATTGAATCATGAATTCCAGACATGCTAATTTATTTCTTAATACAACCAGAAGAATTAGAGGGCAAAACTTTGGATTCCATGTTTTCTCTGCTTCTGCTGTTCTGAGATTGTGAAATGATCTACAGTGTTGAAACAAAACTGTTTCCATGAAATTAATGTGCAGGTATGTTGACCTTTATGTGAAGTACTTGTTGGTAGATTCTATTGATAAACAGTTCTCGGCATTTTCGAAGGGATTCCAACAGGTTTCTTCTTATCTTGTATTAACTGATGCTTCATTAGAACTTCATGAATTGCCTTTATATTATTCTAATTGCCTCAGTGAGTTACAGTTATCCATTTGGTCCTAATATGTTGTTTAGTTCTAATTTGTTGTTTACTTCCAGGTTTGTGGAGGCCAAGCTCTACAACTTTTCCATTATGATGAGCTAGAGTTGTTAATTTCTGGCTTACCTCATTATGATTTTGATGTAAGATACAAATGCCTGATCTTTCCATCGCATTACCATAAACTTGTATGCTCAGCTAAATTTCTATTCTGTATGCTTTTCCGAACGAGTTAAGCCAAAATATCAAGTTCCTAAAACTATAGCTTTATTTTCGTTAGGCCCATTTCTTTGCATTTTTATAGTTAGATTTAATTCATTGCTTATATTAGTTTAGCTATATCAATCTAGGGGCCAGACATTATATGCTTGTAATCAATTAGTTCATCAAGGACTTCGGGATCTATCAAATTTATCATGGTTTGATAAAGAATTGATATAGTAGTGTCATTGCGAAACGAAAGAAACTTGTTCTTTTTGCAAGTTTGTTACATTCTGGTTCTTTTTGTCTTTTTTTAGATGCCAAAGACAAGCATGGACACCCATGTATGCAAGAAAGAAATACTCTAGATAATTATCTTTATGTTATCATTTGATACTTCTTCTTTGCAGGCATTGGAAAGAGTTACTGTTTATGATGGTGGCTACACAAAGGAAAGTGAACTCATTGTGTGGTTTTGGGAGCTGGTAAGCATGGTCATAACTTAATTCTGCATTCTGAGTCTTGTCTGTAGTACTGATTTTGCTTAAGTTATGCTTAAAAAGGTGAGGGAAATGAGTCTCGAGGAAAAGAAAGCATTACTTTTCTTCACTACTGGAAATGATAGAGCACCTGTTGGTGGTCTTGGTAGTTTACAGATTGTCATTATCAAACACGGTGGTGATACTGATAGGTAATGCTTTGTCTAAAGCCACATTTAGTTAATTTCAGTAACAGATATTTTCTTCTCCTTTTATTGCTCAATTCACTTTTTTTTTCTCTTGATCAGGTTGCCAACTGCGCAGACCTGTTTCAATGTTCTAATGCTTCCCGAGTACTGCTCGAAATCGAAGCTAGAAAACCGGCTAAAACTTGCCATATCAAATTCAACTGGGTTTGGTTTGCAATGAGGTAATTGGGATAACTTATTTGCTTAATCTATGAAATTGACACTTCTAGCGAAACTTATGTTTCATGACACACAATGAATATTATACACATTGGTTATTATTCGAATTGAGCATTATGTATGTTTATTGCATGGGACGATATACATAAGACCATTTATCTTTCATACAAAAAGGAATAAAGCATCCCACACTGGCAGATGTAAAATTGGATGGGCTGGGGTATGTAATTTCTCTTCACAAAGTCCCGGGAAAATTTTCACGGACTTTGGATGCAGTCAATGATACACCTAGATCATCTGCTATGACACATAATGGCTTGGGGTGGTTTTACCCTGTTGTAAGGTCTGTGGCCTCATTGATTACTTTCACTCATTGCATTCATATGGTTGAGGTATACTAATTTTGAACTCCCACTTCAGGAAAGGGTCGAATGTTCATTGACATACAAGTGGAGATTTTACGGAAACTCCTTGGGTATCAAGAATTTCTTATTCATTGAAAAGCAAGTATAGAAGGGCACCCAGGCAGTTACACCAATTTCAGATTGAATAACAAATTGATTTTGACTGGATATATATATATAAAATTTGAAAATGCAACCTTAATAAATATTTGTTTAACCCAATTAACATAGGGCGCCCATTTTGATAAGATGCTTAGATCTAGGCCTTAAAAGGTTTTTTTCTTTTCCAAACTTTTTAGATGGCTTTATTATCATTAGATCATTAGATGAACAATGTTAAAAAAGAAAACATAATTTTGAGTTTGTAAAGGTTAAAATCTTGATTTTCACCAAATGAATGGTCTAGATTCATTGTTGGAGGGGACTCATTTTGACAATTTCTAGGGTTCAAGTTGAACGTTTTTTTTGGAATTGATTATTGTGAGGAAGAGAGTTTGTGTGCAAAATTTTGGTTCATATAAATACCACAAACATGGTTTTCTAGGTGTGTGGTTGCATTGTACTATAATACAACTATTGCATTGGATCATTGCCCATATATATATATATATATATATATATATATATATATATATTAGTTAGTTTAGTTACTATTAGTTAGTACGTACGTACCTACTAGTTACGTTACTTACCTACGTAAA